AGTGCGTGGAATAAAACCGTTAAATTAGACGTGCGCAGGCGCGAATTTTTCTATTTCTATGTAATTTTATGTTGTCAAACAAAAATAAAGAGACATATTTTGTTATTTTAGTTGATAATTCATCTGTTGTATCAGTTTTATGTTTATTACTACATCGTAATACCAAATGCACTGTACAATACAGATGCCTTGACGTTTCTCTGCTCCGCAAAGCAGAAATCGGGGTTTAGTGCAAAAAAATGCACCAACCATCAATGCGTCAATTCTTGGCAGATTTGTGCTTTCTGCTTTCACAAAGCAGGCATCTAATATTTAGTTTTGTCAAAAAATAATCAGTGAACGGAACCTTTTCTACAGTTAAGTGTTTTAAGATAAATTTAGTCAGACAAAAGAATCGCTCCACAGTAACACGCGAATGACATTTAGTTGTTTACTACCAAAGAGACGTCACAATCATGGCGGATGTGGTGAACAGCGTTTTTAGTGTTTTAAAAGTATAGACTAAAAACTTTTTTTAAAATTAAATTTCTACAGCAATCTTCTGCTTTTATGAAGTGAAATCGATATATTTAGGTTCCTTAGACTAAGTACTTTAAGAAATAAACATTTATTTAAAATTGGACATGAGTCAACTAGCCTATAAGAAAGACGGCGGAATGTTTTAGAGTATAGTACACAAAAGGTGATCAGATAACGGACGTTCCGTTCGCAACCGAACTTTATCAGAAAGCTGCAATAGTTATGCTATTATGAGTAACTGCTATTTTTGGGTGGCGGTTGCGTTATCAATCATGTATATTTTGAATTTAAATGATTTTTTAGGCTGCAATGAATTGCTTCGCTTTGTTTTGCATTGCTTTGCTTGCTGTTATAATGTTGTGTTTTTTGCTGTTTTTGATTGACTTTTTTATCTTAATTTTTTGTTACTTGAAAGCAAAGGATGTTAAGTCCATACATCCTTTCAAGTAATAAAATTTTTTTTAAAGGTCTTTTTTTTGTCACTAAACAGGCCCTGGCAGAATAACAGCGCTGGTGCGACACAATGTCGCATCAGCTAATGCTGAGGCAGGGTCCTGGTTAGCCCTGAGGTTTTTTTTATTTGTATTTGTAATGTGTAATATCTGTAATATGAGGGTTAATAAAATTATATTCTATTCTATTCTTATATTCTAATAGTTAGAAAGTAGACATTTTCATAGAATGTAAAATAATAAAGCATTTACAAATTGCCGCTATAAAAATTTGACGACCTCCGTGGCCGAGTGGTTTATACGCCGGGTTTCATGGCGTCGCCGACTCGAGAGGTCCCGGGTTCGAATCCCGGTGGGGGCAGATGTTTGTGTGATGAATACGAGCATTTGTACTCCAGTCTTGGATGTTTAATATGTATTTCATATAAATATACATATATATGTACAATATATGTATTCTATCCGTTACCCTAGTATCCCATAACACAAGCCTTTACAGTGCTTACTTTGGGGCTAGGCTAATTGGTGTGAGTGTATTAAAAAAAAAAGAAGAAATAGTAATAAATGCATGACAGTAAGAAAAAGGGACATATTAAAAGCAACGCGATTTTTTTTCAGTGGTTTCCTTGTAAAACAATCGCAAAAGCTGGGTGAAATAAACGGGCAGGAGTCCCGGATACCTCCTTCATGCTCCCGCAGTGGCTGAAGGATGCGTAAGGCATTTACCAGACATAAAAAGGTATGTGTCCGTGTGTGAGACAAGCTTGCACTTAAAGCCTAATGGCTCGTTAGCCTATTGCTAGAGGTACTGTAACGTCCTTGACGTTATAACCTCCTTGTTTAGGTAAACTCTTTGCTTTTGCAATGCCTACGGTTGGCAGTTATATTAAAAAAAGTTAATGTCATGATTTTAATATTTGAAATAAGGAATCGTCTGAAGGTTCCATTCTCGATTAGATCTTCAGGCACCAAGAACTTCCTCTCGTATTTAGATAAAATTTCTTTATATTCGCCTGAATGATAAAAAGAAATAAATAATTTATCTCTACCAGTATCGTTTAATTAATAAGCACGTCCCCAGGTTCTATCCATTCTGGGTAGAACTCTATATGGTGGACGCGCCGCGTTAGCTTCAAGTACCGCGAGTGAAAAATAATTTTAAATCAAGAAAGAAGTAGTTTTATGAAGATGGAGACCAGGACCACATTCGACGGAAAAGGTGATGTAACCGATTTCTTTCGTCAATTTAATATCATCGCCGCTATCAATAATTTCAACGAGGATACAAAAAGAGTTGTGTTGTCGGCATATTTGAGTGGACCTGCATTGTTGTTCTATAAAAATATTAATGAGTCTTGTGAGAATTTTCAGATTCTAGAAAAGAAAATTTGTGAGGAATTTCCATCATCGATAAATGCGTTGGAAAAATTTTTCTCACGAAGACAAGGCTTGTCAGAAGAGCCATTGCACTATTTTTATGTATTGGATGAGCTGGCCACAAAAGCAGGAGCTGTCATCGATGACAAATGCTTCATTAGACAGTTCTTGAAAAATGCGAATTTAAATACAAAAAATCTTTTCGCATTTCAGTTATACAGTGATAAAACACATTTGAGAAATGTTTTACGACAAGTGCAGGACATTTTTGAGGACGAAAGCGTCGAAATTGGTTGGAATCTGCCGATCCAACCATCGTTTGCTCACTTCGAGGCGACGAAAATTTCGCCTATAATAAGGCATGAAGAAGAACAAGAGAAGGAAATCAACTTCATTTCCTCCCAAAGTGTCCTTTCTCATCCCATTGTCCCTCCCGAACATATGATTCCCCGCACTTTTTGTTCCAGTAACACGAACAAAAAGAAGTATAAATCAAAGAAGAAGAAGCATCCAAAGAAAATTTTTTATGAAGAAAATGTTATGACGATGGCTGATGGACAAGATTTTTATTCCCAACCGTCAGAAAACAACAATCAATATACAAGTGAGTCCAAACCATTAATTAATATAACGTGTCGTGATAAGAAGTTTATAGGGCTCATTGATAGTGGTGCTGCAGTGTCTGTGGTGTCGAAGGACACAGTTAATAGAATTCATCAACGAATTGATGAAAGCGATATGAAGTTGAAAGCTGTCGATGGTAAAGAATTGTCTGTTATAGGGAAAGTTAACCTTAAATTATTGATAGACAATGTGTTATTCATTCACGATTTTCTTGTGGTAGAAAATATTAGGCATAATCTCATCTTAGGACAGGATTTCTTACTTCGAAATAATGCGATAGTAGACTTTTATAATGAACAATTAATAATCAAACATATTAAGTGCAAGTTTAAAAGACAATATATACAAAAGAATAATGAAAGGAATAGTGATAATTCGGTGTATGATGAAAATTTATATTATGCCGAATAGGTTGATAGTACAATAATAATAATGTGTTACTAATGAGATTTTATTTCAGTTTATTGTTTATATGAATGTTTTAAAGCAATGGTGGTATGTAAATAAGGTTTAATACAAAAGTCATTTTAGAATTTTATTTCAAAAGCATATTAAATATAACTTTGTCATTTTATTAGAATTTTTTTTCAATACACATGTTATAAGGAACTTTTACACATTTTGTTTATGACAGATTAATAGTTAGTTTCATTAAAGTATTTTCATTTCTTTTAATTATTAGTTTTAGTGTAATTTGTTGAGTAGGTGGATTATTGATATTGTAATAAACATATGAATGATAGGTAACAGGTTCGATTCTCTGTTCAACTTGGAATTATTCAATTGACTTTGAATATGATCATTGATAGGATTAATTTAGCATTAGGATAGAATATATACAGTTAATAATGTATAATAGGATAATATAGGTCCATAAAGAAAATTCCCTTATTATAAAAAAGGAAACGGGTTCGATTCCCTGTAAGGTTAAAAAAATAAATAAATGAATAATAATGTTATACTTTGAAAATTTATCCAACTATGAAAAGATGGTATAAAGACTTATCATAAACTTAATGCTTTCATGAATATTAACTTACCCGACTGAAGAAAAATGGTGTAAAGAATTTTACTAATATTTTCTTGATTGTTTTATGTACTACCACATGATGCGGACTTCCCGAGAGAGAGCAGGCTGGCGCTCATGCAGACGTCAGCGATACTGACGATGATCCACCCTGAAGATGATGGAGACACCCTCTACGAATTCGCGTCGTTTTCGTTTCAATATGGTCGCGTCGCGTTCGTCGAAATCGTCACTTGTAGTAGTTTGACTTGGGGGTAGGGAACCCTTAGTATTCCATGGGAATTGGGTTTAATCTTGTTTGATGCTAGATGTCCTTACCCAAAATTTCTATTACGTTTGCGCATCATGGGTGTCTAATAAAGTACAAGACAATAAAGTGGTGGACCACGTCTGTATCTTTATTAAAGATGTACGAAAGTAAACATTAATTATAAATTCTTTTAGGTTTTGCTCAAATCCAGTTAATGTTTACGAATCTTAGGAAATAGTTTGAATTTCGTTTCGTACATCTACTTAGTATGGGAAGTAATGAAGTTTCAAAATATAAATTTTCTTGATATTTAATGGTTTAATAAATGGGATAGGGTAAAGTTTTGCTGATAGATGGGATAAAAAAAAATTGCTTGGGTAATTTAAGTTATAGCTAGGGTTAGCTTTGTTTTTTTGTTTTTGCCGACTGATGTCGATGTAAAGTAAAGTAAAGTTAAGGTTAGGAGGGAGATGTGCGAGGGATTTTGTTAAGGTTTTGTTCCCGTAAAGTTTTTTTTTTTGCAAGTTTTGCAAACTTATTGTGAGGGCTAGTCTGTAGTAAAGGCCACCTCCCAGTTGTATTTATGTCCTTAAGCAGGTAGGGATTTTAGATAGGACTGTCGAACCCTCTCGATGTAGTAGGTAGGAAAAAAAAATTTTGTTCGGTCATCTGGTATGACAAAACAATTTTTTTTTTTTTTTTTTAGAGGTGCCGGAGGGATGTAACGTCCTTGACGTTATAACCTCCTTGTTTAGGTAAACTCTTTGCTTTTGCAATGCCTACGGTTGGCAGTTATATTAAAAAAAGTTAATGTCATGATTTTAATATTTGAAATAAGGAATCGTCTGAAGGTTCCATTCTCGATTAGATCTTCAGGCACCAAGAACTTCCTCTCGTATTTAGATAAAATTTCTTTATATTCGCCTGAATGATAAAAAGAAATAAATAATTTATCTCTACCAGTATCGTTTAATTAATAAGCACGTCCCCAGGTTCTATCCATTCTGGGTAGAACTCTATAGTACCAAAGTATCGCCCATACTTTGCCTACCCTAACCCCACTCCTTTGCAGTAACACACGCCTAAAAATACTTTCGTTTGCAGTCTTGCTTCAATAAACATTGCTTCCTCATATGTACTAAGAGAAAAACCCCTTTATAATTAACAACTCAATTTATCAACGATTAAAAAAGAAAAAAAAGGAAGCCTGTCTTTTTTTTTTATAGCCAGGTAGGCAAATGACTCTACCCTACCTGATGTTAAGTGGTGATAAAGTCCAAACGCGAAGATAGTTGGTACAGCAGTTATAAACTGCCACACCAACCATCCTCACCTTGCCGGCCTGCAGAAATGCTTCTTCACGCCTCTCTTAAAGGACTCCAGATTTTGGGAAGGAGGGAACACGTGCGCGGGCAAAGAATTCCACTTACAAACAGTACGACAAAGAAATGAGTCACTAAATTTCTTTGTTCGGGTGGGAATAGTGGCCACAGTAAGTCGCCAACGTAGGTCTTTCATTCCTTACATGTGAAACAACTTAGTTATGTTACTGACACTTTTTAGGGGATAACGAAAACTTGATCGCTGGTATTGCCGGATAACCGATAATGATTAGAAATATTAGTGATAGTTTCGTCACCCATATTTTCAATCATTATCGGTTAAATTATTATAGCTGAATCGGTATATAATATTATGCGTTTTTTTTTATTTATTTATAAAGGTACATTAAACAGCCAAAGGCCAGCAAAAATGTACACAGCTGAATAACATAAGTAAACCTTAGTTACCAAAAAGAAAACATAATTATTAAGAAAAAAACATTGATGAAATAGTCTTCAACTCTTAGGTGATGAAACAAAGCGGGCGATAGGAATGAAAACTTGATATTACCAGAGAAAAGTCACTAATTGGGTACGAGTCTAATAAACATTCATGTATTTGCAATTAACCAAAACGAAATAAAAACATGCATAAAATAAACAATAAATATGTATATCTAATATATAAAATTCTATGTTGTGGTTAAACTCCTCCGAAACGGCTCGACCGATTTACGTGAAAGGACATTGCTCGTTCCCCATACATTGAATGCCCTAGAACGCCCAGCAATGATAAAATGCTAGTTGTGTTCGGAATCATTCATAAACTCTAAATAAGCATTTGTTGAGATACGGACAACTTGAGGAACCGTGGCCTACTACAGAATGTATTAGATTTTGAGGTTATAATTATTATACTTAATCATAAAAGATGTACACTTTATATGTTCTGAATAGATTTAGTGTTTACCTCTATGTAAGCACTTAAATAATATGCATTAAATGAATAATAAAAATAATAAATGCTTATATTCATATTGATTTATGAGTGTTGTCAGTTGGCACCTATGATACCTATACCTACCTGTAGTAGGTAATGATAGATTTCTTTTAAAATGAAATGTTCAGTCTTTCCATTTACCTGTTCCTATAGTTTACTATCGGTAATTAGGTATGTACCTGGTTATCATTATGATTGTCATAAAAATAAACAGATATTACATGGGATGGGAGTATATACTATCTTTACATAATTTCAGAAATAATCTTTTCATAAATATAATATAAATACTAGTAATAAGTATTATTAACTAAGGTACCTAGTTCTATTTTTATGTTGATAAATACCTATGGTCGCCAATATTGCATTACTAAGGTAAACAATCTTGGCACAACTTTTTAACAGAATCACCCATTTAATAATAAAATATTAACGAAGCCAATAAACTATTAAAATAAATCGTTATTATAGACTGAAACCTATTGAATCCAGTTATCAGTTGATTTTTAATGCTGTATTTTCAATAAAAAGGAGTGCCAAGTTGGATGAACAGACTGTAGTATCTAGTAACAGAACTTTTATTTTTTAAACAGATTGTCCGATTACTATGATTAATTGCTAATAAGTTAAAAAAATAATAGAAAAATAATAGTGAAGGTCATTCTTTTGGGCATGCTAGGGCCGATTTCGTCGATGTCCTTTTATTTGCATATTCAGTGGGTCTGCGAATCGGATGTAATCTATTTTTCATCCCCCTAAATGTTAAGGGTAACCCACCCCTAATTTTTTTTTCAATTTTAGATATTTTTTTTTTATTTTTTTTATGATACATCATACAACAATACGTACATCCCTAAATTTTCAACTTTCTACCACCAACCCCTATTTTTTTATGGCGGTACGAAGTTCGTTGGGTCAGCTAGTGTATATACAGGATGTTACAGAATTCCGAAATAAAATTTGTAGGTATGTATTCCGAAATAAAAAATTGTAGGTATCTGAGCGGGGCGCAGGGGCGCCTGGGGGAGAGAGGGGTGTCTGTTTAGGTAGTAGTAATCGTACGCATTTATAGGGTTGTCATAGGCAGGTGTAAAACGATATTTTTATTAATTTAATTATAAAATAAAAGTGGTCCGAAAGGCGTCAAACTTTCGTAGGTAATTCTATACAAGGAACACAACCAAACCCTAAAGTTTTATTTCGGACTTTTGTCACATCCTGTATATTTAAAAATGATGATGATGCGAGCACTCACCGACTAGGCTGTACTTGATGAGGCAGGGGTGGCAGAGCGAGTCGACGGGCTGCCAGTGCTCGTTCGCGACCACATCGGCGAGCTCGTCGGCGCGCGAGGTCAGAAACAGCGCGAACTCGCGGAAGCTCACGTCGTGTCCCAGCTCCAGAGACTCGTTGGACGGGTTAGCGCGAAACGCCTTTATGATCCGTCTGCCTACACGGTCCTACAAACGTTTGAAATGAAATGAAATGACATTTATTCAGTCTAGGCTGTTACAAGCACTTGTGAAGGTCAAGAAGCTACGCCATCGGTTCGCAAAACTACGGCGGGAGACCTTGTACTGAGAAGAACCGGCAAGAAACTCAGCAGGGGCTGTTTTTTTCTCCCTGTATTGTTATATACAGTGTCGTCAAGTTGAAAAATTACTTCAGAAATACGTCTGAAGTCACTTTCCATTACATCATCTAGAATATAAATATGTAGTTACAATTAATTTTATAGGTAACATTTTAAGTAGTATATAGGAAGCGGCATCAGATAGGTACAATATTACTGTTACGAAAAATGAGTAATACCCATTTAATATCAAATTATAAGAAACACTATGTCCATGCATATGATCATTTAGATAATCGTCAACTTTATAATAGCCCTTATTCATAAGAGTATTTTTGATCTGAGATTTAAATTTAGTCAGTTTTCAGACTAGTTTGTTGTCATATTAACATATACAAGCAAACCAGTGAACCAAATATTCACCAAAACCTGATTTCTCGAGAACCGGAAGTGCTACGTTACTCAAATCCGGTTTGTAGTCTTATCAGACTATTCTTAACTTATAACTTAAATATTCTCTTTATCTATCTCTTACGGTTTGGCCGCTGAAACAGCACCACAAACAGGCGGACTTGTCTAATAGATAAGAGATAATAATACTAGCGACATATGTACCTATATAATACAAGCAATCCGCCACAGCCTTGCCTGGGTCAACTTTATTTTACCGCGATAAAATATAGCTTATGTTACTCAGGGATAATACAGCATTCTAATTGTGAAAGAATTTTGAAAACCAGTCAAGTATGTTATTTTTTTATACAATTAAAAACACACAACTTTTTCTCTCTAATAATTATGAGTACAGATAAAATTCAAATGTATTCAACATATTAAAATCTCTACTGCTTAACACAGACCTTCTCTATGGGCATAACAAAACAAGGATGAAAAGCTATTACCCATCCAAATGACTGGCCAAAGCGAAAGTTGCTTCATCAACAGCCTATTAATGTCCACACTGCTGAGGCACAGGCCTTTCCTATGGATGGAATAGTGATTGGGAGATTGGGCCATGACCCACCTCGCAGGCCCAGTGTAGATTGGCAGGTGCTTACGACTACAGATGCAGCCAGGACCAACGGCTTAACATGCCTTCCAAAACACTGAGGAACTCAAGATCAGAATGAAACTCAAGAAGAGAATCATGCCTGAATCGACGCCTGTATTTATGATCAGTACTAAATAAAAGAAACTTGCAGAATTCTGCAACATACATACATTAATATTATAAACAACTTTTTGTTTAAAAAAATTTAGATAACAAAGATCAAGCAGTCTCAAGATCAAAGGTAAAGTGTATACTGCAATTGATATGATGAAGTTTATCTTATTTTCACTATCACTTTTAAATTTAATGAATGGAGATTATAACATTGTCAGTGGAAAGAAGTGACAACGACTTGTTTACCTTCTGTAAAGTAAGTTTTTTTTAATAAGTAGGTTTTCTAATAAAGAAAAAAATTTAACTAAACATAGCAAACTTCATAGGCATATGATTTTATTTATTTTTTAAGCATTTAACTGCTAGATGTTTAAATCTAAAGAAAAGTTTACTAGAAAAAAATCCACGCGTACAATGCGAAGAGATGGCGCTGCCTTGCAGCTTAAGGCTAGGAAAATTTCGACGCGGCTAATAGGGCCGTGGTAGCATAATGGTCAGTGCATTCGCCCGGATAGTGAAGGATGAGGGTTCGAGTCCCGTCCGCTGCCTGGTCTGCGTGGATTTTTTTCTAGTAAACTTTTCTTCATAGGCATATCCGAAAGAGTGGCTGTATTGCAACTTAAACTTGGAGACGAGGCTATAACACTGATCCAGGTGTACGCCCCGACAGAAAGATCAAAAGACGAAGAAATTTGACAGTTTTAATAAGTATCATTTTATAAATATGCGAAAATTAACAAGAACATACCTGAAAATATTTAGCACTCTGTGTATCTCCTTCTAATTTATTTCTGTACGCAGACAGCAATCTTTCAAAGGGGTTTCTCACAATTATCATCTTATGAAAGGTGTCCAACATAGCGTTCCTCTGATCTTTAGGTACACTACTCAGATTACGGAACATCCCCGGGGAATGGGCCAAATGTGCTGGTATGGCCAACACGTCTGTATCATTCCACTTGCCCGTTAAAATCATCAATGTCCTTTTCCAGTTTGTGCATGCCACCTGTTATATTAATATTAACTCATTAATTGCCTGTATTATAATCAAGTTGTACAAATTAATAACAAGGCTAATGTATTCATCTATATATCCTAAATTTATCAAGGTTTAATTTAATTATTTCCTATAGTTATGAAAATGTTACTGTGAGTCCTTGATGCATTCATTCATTCATTAATCTAGATAGAATTTATTGGGTTAGAACAAAGCATGGTTATCAAAATTAAGAATCATGAAATAAAACGATATTTTTTATACAACTATACTCACTTTTGGCACATAGCAGTACAGTAGCTTATGGTTTTCATCAATTAAAATGTGCTCCAATTGGTTATCAGGCAAATCGTCCAAGCTGTATTTAGGTTCAAAGCGGTTACATACTTCTTGGATACGTTCTTGCCTGGCCAAGTTCAAGGACTGGGTCAACTCCAACGAATACTCCGTAGCCAAGTTATTATCAATAACATCACTCACTCGACCGCTCACACAAAATAATAAACACAGAATAAACACATAATAACAATTAGAAACACCCATCTTTCACTTTAATTTAATAAAAAAAAAACTTTGAAATCCGTACAGTTTTTAAGTAGGACAGTAAGCGGAAGTTTCAACGGAAAGAGTTATAATTTATGTAGGTAATGTTTTTCAACGTTCTTAATAACATTTAATCTTGGTACGCGCACCTACATAATTCATTTATTATTTTAAGTTCAATTTCATCGAGAACGCGCTTCTTTCGACACGAAGCAACCAACACCACCGACATTGACAGATTTACTAAATCGCCGAACCAAACAAAAAACAAATTAGACGAAACCTTCCTTTTATTGCGTTTCATTTAAAGAGGCAAAGGAATTTTTAAACATACATCCTTTGATACTGTGTTAGCTGGCATGGACCACGATAAAGGCTTTGTTATCGTTTTTAATAATATGGAGAAGTACGACAAACAAATAACGAATTAATATTATATAAGTTTTATTTTTTAAGTTAATGTTATTATAAATTCCCAATGCTTCATTTCACTGTCATGCCCTCTGGTTTTGAAAGTTTTTCAGGAATATTGTTCTGCAACGAAAAAAAATAATTTTATGAATTAATAATAGCTTTATCAATTTTACTTGCGAGAACGAAACACTATAGAAATTGGCGTAGGTAATTTCAGGTCCGTATAGGTAAGTATAATTTAAGTATTCTCACCCTAAGATGCTGTATATAGCAAACTTGATGGTATTGATTTATTAAGGCAAAAGCTTCCTCTGCGACCTCCAGTTGACGTTGTTGCCAAGAAAGTACGGCAAGACAGGCCCATAAGGTTTCGTCTTCAACGGTCCGACACAACTGTAGGAAAAAATAAGATGTGGATTTCAAAGACCAAGAAGAATCGATTCTTTATACCTTCAGTAGTGGACGACTTCGTCTGCGTGATTCAATTGATTTCTCGTACAAACTTCCACTGTCCTTTAATGCCCTTTTCTGGGATGAAAACTATACTAATGTCATTTCTCATTAGGCTATAGATTGCAAAAAAAATATACCTACCTACATGCATACACCCGAAACTCATAACCCCACATTCATCATTCGTAGTAGGAAAAAATATAGGTACGTACAATTACTGTCTTCATCTTATACGTTTAAATCTATAAAAAGGTCAACTATCGTGTACTAAGTTTAACTCTTTAGTAAATTAATTAATGTAGTCAAAAATCATTGAATATTTATCTAAACAGTGACTTTTACTATTCGTGAAGATCGAACTACGAAAGAAAAATCTGAACCTGTAAGGCAAGCTGCCACATATTGGCAGCTACATGCTTGAGCAGCTTTTCAGGAAAGACAGCGACTGAAACGTGCATTATTGAACCGTTGCCTCTGCATATTCTCGCGACGCCTTCTTCAATGGAGATGAGGGTAGGATTACGACCTAAATCGCTAAAAATACCAAATATATCTTTATTATATTACGTAGTACTTATTAAAATGAAATTAGTTGTGTGTGTAAAAGGTTCGGTCTTCGATCGTGGAAGTTAAGCAACTTTTGCAATAGACGGTCATTGGATCGGTGACTAATTATGTCGAACTTCTCTGTGCTTCGGAAGACGTTGATCCCGGCTACAACTTCAGTCTTTAGTTTTCATGGCCTGCACTCGCTATTCCACCCATAGCGAAAGCATGTGCCTTAGCAGTGTATTAATAGGCTGATAAATAACGATGCTGATGATAATAACACACCTTATCTCCTTATTAACCATGGTTAGCGTTAACCAGTCCGGTTGAGTGGCTGCTCTAGGACAACACCAGGCCACCAAGGAGTTGGCTCGAAGACCTACCAGCAATTCTGTTTCAGCGCTCCAACAAATGCTGAGGATTTGCGACCCTGGTAAGTTTAGAATATAAATATAAATTAGTTAAACTGTAGTACTATGTAGATGACTTTCATTCTTCTTACTTTTTACTAGGTATTAATACTACCGATCACAGTCTGTGTTTTCTGTAATTAAAGAGTTTTCCGCTCGATACGATTATGATATGATTACGATACAATACGATATGATTACAAACTAAGATTTTAATATTAGTACGAACACATATCATATTCAGAGAAAGTGAGTGGAAAATATACTACAAGAATAATTTAGAGGTTTTCAGAATTTCAGATACTCGGATACTCACCCAACTTGGAAAACTTTGGCTTGTTTTCTTTCACAGTGACTACGTATAAGTCTTTGTTGTAGTCTAGTAAGGCTAGCTGCCTTTCATTGATAGGGCCCGTCTGACTTAACGCGATCGAGTATACTGTCATCTTGTGAGACAATTTTGTTACTACGTTATCAGCAGAACTACGCACAATCAGGCCAGTTGGCAAGTCAAAAACGTGTATGACTGAAAAAAAACCGGAATTGGAGACACAATTGAATAATTTTACAAAACTTATAGCTAAATTTTATAGTTATTAACGGGATTGCTACCACGTACCTTGTCTCGTCTGTTACTCCGTGATCATGGCGCTTGCATTAGTGCCGTAACATCGGGACCTCACAAAAAAACAATATAACTACATAGTAGCAAACCCGCTAATTACTATTATGTATGTTATTGACCATAAAACAATAATATATAGTAAAATTTTATACTTCTCCGATCAGATTGGTCGATGACTGCTAAAGCATCGGGACCCAGAGACACAGCAGCTCTTCCTAAAGTCTCGGATCGAGTCCCACAGCGTGGACTAGCTAGTAGTCTTCCCATGTAGCTATATACTGAAATACCAGCTCGTTCTACTATGCATAGGCATCTGGAAACCAGACATTTCCATTTGAATACAATGAGGGCTACCGTTTTCTGCCTCACCAGATGGCGCCACTGTTGAGTGAAGTCCTAAATTGTAACTTTTAAAGTTTATTAATACGCACATGAAATCAAAGGTTACATTTAGATCGTATTTTAACACAAAAGAACCATATCCTAAACATAAGAGGCCATGCCACAGTGACGCGCAGTTCCGTTTTATTCGGAAAAAATGGGAACATAATCATTTTCCTAAGCTCAAATTTTTAATAACTGACATTCATTGCCACATAACTCATATTTGCCATAATTAAGCCGAATTGTTACCAATAATTCATAACATTATTTTAATTAGAAATAAACCCGCGTAGTCAACCAACAAGCAATAACATTTGACATTTCGGAGACCTCACACTACACTAGCGCCTCTAGCGGCGGATTCATACGCGTCAATAGAAGTCCTTAATGCCCAATATTTTCACAACATATTTTCCTTACCTTTCAGAGAGCAATATCATGCTAATCGTTCCTTCTTTCAAATCAAACGTAACTGGCGTATTCCATGAGTTGAGCTTGTGTATGAAACATTGCTTCACAGTAGCTATAACCAAGTGATTAAAACCGAGGGCGATTTGGATGACTCTGTCTGGGTAGTCTAAATGGTCGCTTTGTTCAGTCACGATATCCTTTATCGCTATCACTTTACGCCCTATTTGGGTGCACGCAAAATTTTTCCAGGTATATTCCCTAAAACATATGAAATTAAGGAATTCTCCTGATTTTATAGCTATTTACGGATTTGTTACCATGTACCTTGTTTTTATGGGTCTCCGATATTTCGACCCTGTTACAAGCGCCATGATCACGGAGTGACTTAAGTAATTGCGGCTAGATGTTATTGGTAGACATATCAGTCTACCCTCCGACGTCATTTTTTACTGCGCTCGACAACCCTACAACTGGTCACATTCTCACTATTCACTCGCACCTGTTCCCGAAACACAATACTCACAGTATCATATCGCGGAACGACACTTTTTTGATATTTCCGGTTTTTGCACACAGGAAAACTGGATCTTTATATACCAGGGTTAGTAGTAACTCCAAATAGATGGGGTTGCAATGGGCAGTCCGGTAGCTCCAGTCGTTGCCATTTGGAAAGAGTATGATTATTTGCTTACACTTCTGGGATGACCCCGCCAAGTACTTACTTGATGCTTTGTATAGGTTACAGCGGCGCACGACCTGCCTCATTGGTTATGAGGAGGTGATTGAACACCTTCAGCCTTTTCAATTACGCCATAATGTGGCATCACTAAGAGAGTTCTATTGTCTAACCCACAATCACTTTTCCTTCAGAAGACCACACGCGCTTCACCGTTACATAACATCAGGTAAGGAGGTGTCATTTGTCGGAACTTTTCATATAAAACATATATAATACCTACATAAAGCGGTGCTTTTTTACATTAGAACGGAAGACAACAGCTGAATCAACTTATTTCAGGTCATGTCTCTTCATACTATTGCTTAAAATGCTATTTGATCTGAACGAAAGACCAAACCGAAAATGGGTGGTAGCTAGAACTGTGGCCCACTGTACCAGCTTGCATTTAGTCAGGCCGAGAAGTAGATAGTACTTCAAACTTAAATCATAAATAATAAAAACCCAAAAATTTGAGTATTTATGGGTTTAAACCTAAAAGACTCGGTTTTTACCCAACTGGGTTTAAACCCACCTGTGTGGATTGCCCATCCAAGGTCACAGGTTCTATGATCTCCCAAAGACAACTTCCCCTTGGTAAAACCTAGTGTATATAACATCGACTGTAGCTTTGGTAGTTCTTATATTGGCCAAACGAAGCAGACATTAGCGTGCTGAATGAAAGCAGTCAGAAATAATGGATACGCAAAAATCAGCTATCGCGGAACATTTCATTGATTTGGGTCCTAATCACTGGATTGAGCTCCATAATTCACAAATTCTCTGGGTAAGTAAGGAAGTGATTGAAATAACCAAACACAAGAATTTCAATGGTGAGGATGGGTTTAAATTGTTAAGTGTCTGGAATCCACTGGTTTGTAAATGCAAAAAGCGCAAATATCAAAAAAGTGTCGTTTCGCGAGCTGATACTGTGAGTATTGTGTGTCAGCAACAGTGCGAGTGAATAGTGAGAATGTGACCAGTGGTGATATCGAGCGCAGTAAAAGGCGATGTCAGAGGGCAGACCGATATGTCTGCCAATGATATCTACCCGCAATTACTTCAGTTACTCCGTGATCATGGCGCTTGCAACAGTGCCAAAATATCGGAGACCCATAAAAAACAAGGTACATGGTAACAACCCCATTAATAGCTATAATTTTAGTGACTATAAAAGTTTAAAACAATATTCTCTTGATTGCCGATACATTTCCATATGAATATTATTCCATACATTAACAAAATTACGAACCTGTCAATTATATGCGCAAAAAGCACGTGGCCATTGGAACAAGCTGCAGCCATCTGCGTGCCATCGGATGACCATGCTATACTGTAGATGCTACCTGTCGACGGTCTGTCCAAACAGTGCGACCACTGCGAGAAAATAAGCTTAAGCCTAAGTATTATCTTAATACCCACATCACATTCTTTACTGTACGCACAGTGTACATCTATAATTCTATGATTTATTATACTTAATGACTTTTTTTGGGAAAGATATCGATCATTTACTATTACTTATACTTTGACGACCTCCGTGGCCGAGTGGTTTGTACGCCGGGTTTCATGATGTCGCCGACTCGAGAGGTCCCGGGTTCGAATCCCGGTGGGGGCAGATGTTTGTGTGATGAATACGAGCATTTGTACTCCAGTCATGGATATTTAATATCTATTTCTATATAAATATACTTATATATGTACAGTTTATGTATTCTATCCGTTACCCTAGCATCCCATAACACAAGCCTTATAGTGCTTACTTTGGGGCTAGGCTAATTGGTGTGAGTGTTGGAAATATTTATTATTATTATTTATTTACTTATTACCAAGCCTTTGTGTTGGATATTTATAAGATATCATTATATTTTCTTAATTTGGGCAATATTTTAATAGATTTTGACACATCATAGGATAAAGTAAGGTTAATAATAATTACCCCATTAGCATTGCAGAGTCTTATCAGGTTGTAGCTGCCGATCACGAAGAGGTCTCCCGCGGGTGACCAACTCACGCTGGTAATCGCCTGATCGTGTTTTATGCTCATTGATATTTGCTGGCCAAATGTGTCCCATATCTATTAGAAAAAAAAACCTCTAAGATACGTTAGACTGTGTGGTGTAGGTACTACCTACATAATATAAAATGTAACACAATGTAGTACCTTTGTCAAACCATCTTCGGACCCCGAAATTATCAAGTTATTATTGGCATTCCAGGCGGTACAAATAATCAGTCCTTCATGGGCTTTCCACTGAAAGTAAAAATAAACTTTGTAAAAAACGAATTGCCATTTAATTTGGAAAAGTTGATTTAAAAAAAAATATCGATGTTTTCATCGTTAAAATTCTTTGAAACATTTACAGACCTTTGTTATTTTACTGCTTGAATTAAGTTGCCTTATGATAAGGAAGTTGTTTTTAGTATATAAAATGGCACTGCTGTCAGGACTCCAGACCGCACTGTAGCATGGTACATCGGACTGCACTATAGTGGATCTCAGAAGACCATTTCTCGACCAAACTTTTACAAATCCATCCTCACCAGCTAACACGTGAAAAGAAACAGAATTATACACAGGTTTTACAGTTTTTTCAAATGAAACCATCTACTTAAAGCAAGGAAAATTGTTACCTGTCAGAAGGCCAGCACCGTCAGGGCTCCATTGTGCTGTAAGGCATGCGCCTTGATGGGCGTTTACGTTTTTCTCTATTCGTCCATTATGATTTACAATACTAAACCTGTGAAAAGTAATAAAATAATTTTTATATAAAAGTAGTACCTAGATAGGTACTCGTCTGTACATAAACATATATCGATCACTCACTTTCCATCTGCAGAAGATACCAAAATGACGTCATGTTGGTACTTATTTGTACCCATGCTAAGTTTAGGAAACAGATGCATTCCAGTGGGATAGAAATCATCAGGAAATGTTGTCACAACCATGCACTCGCTATTCACTAAGTTCCATTTCAAAAGTTTGTGGTCATCCCTAAATGTAACATTAGATACAATTATAATAAATTTAAGTAGGTAAGCATTATGTCAATGTAAGAAATTAGTATAATTATTATCCACTAGCTTTTGCCCGCGGCTTTGCTCGCTGTCTTGAGGGTTTTCCCGGCAATTATTTGAATTTTTCTCACCTTTCAAACCTTCCCTAGACCTCCACGAACATTTCAAGACCAAGATAAGGTAAATCCGTTCAGCCGTTCTCGAGTTTTAGCGAGACTTACGAACAACAATTGATTTTTATATATATAGATAATTCAGGTCCGTGATAGATAAGAAGATTAACTACCAGTTACTTACCCACAGGAAAACACATCCTCGGTGTTATTCCAACTAACGCAAACAACAACTCCGACATGTTTCGGTTCTTTAAAAGAAGATATTTTCAATTTCATTGCTTATTTAAAAATACCTGTTTATTTTAAAGCAAATTGACAAACATTCGCAACGTGCTACCAGGTCTTTTGCTATTGACATCTTTAATGTATAATGTTAGATTACCATGGCAACCTACATTTCGATTTACCGCATCGCGTCGCTCAACGTCCGCCCCGTTCACCTCACTTTCCACAGTTCATTCAAAGATGGATTATAACTCAAATTATGTAGGAGTAGGAATCCTGAATACAAGCTAAAACACTATAACCACTTTCCTAATGAAAAACAGATATAATCATTAAAATGTGATTGTATGGACTTAGTTTCCTTTGGCTTCAAATAGGAGAATACAATGACAACAGAAATGTCACTGTCAAAAGTGTCAAACAAATTATCACATGTGTAATTGTAAATGTGTTTTTGATAAACGTTTTTAAGATTTTAATCGAAATTTAATAATGTCTGATCTACCAGACCTTAGCAGTGACGAAGAAAACTACGAAGATGATGATTGGCAAGAGATGGAGACGAGTAATACATTGGTAACCTGTTTATTTTGCACCGACGTGTTCCCTTCAGTGGATGCTGGATTTAACCATTGTGAAATAGTTCACCATTTAAATTTAAGCAATTTAAAAATAAAACTCAACATGGATTGCTACTCTTATATTAAAATGATTAATTACATCAAAACCCACAAGCCTAAACCAGAGGATATTATAAGTTTGACTGAGAGCCCCTGGGAGGACGAACAGTATTTAAAACCTGTGGAGAACGACGAGTGGTTGATGTTTGACTTCGAGTCGTTGACCGAGAAACCGAATTCTCCTAAGACCTACCATGCTAATGTGGAAAATGGCTTGGTCACACTATCACAAACTCATTTCATTGAGCTACAGCGAACTATTCAAACATTAACTGCTCAGATTAATGAGAGTCAAATGCATCTTGAAATGGCTAAAGAAGATATTAGGAAAATGCAGGATTCCATGAAGAGCATAGTTGATGGTGGGCATTCAAACAGCAATGGTGATGAAAAAAGTAAATATGTTGTGAATTGTGTATCTAAAGTGGCATTAGAAGATGATGAAGGATATTTTAACACATACGCTCACTTTGGTATTCATTATGATATGCTCTCAGACAAAGTGCGTACAGAAAGTTACAGAGATGCCATCTTGAATAACAAAGATACAATAAAAAATAAAATAGTGTTAGATTTAGGCTGTGGCACAGGTATTCTCTCAATGTTTTGTGCTACCGCAGGGGCTGAGAAAGTTTTTGCTTTGGATCAATCGGAGATTATATACCATGCAATGGATATCATAAGAGAGAATAATTTACAAAATGTCATCAAAACAGTGAAAGGTAGACTAGAGAACACAGATCTGGAGGAGAAAGTTGATATTATTGTGTCTGAGTGGATGGGATATTTTTTGTTGTTTGAAGGCATGTTAGATAGTGTTATCTATGCGAGGGACAAGTGCCTCAAGCCTGGAGGTCTATTGTTACCTAATAGATGTAATATAAGCCTGGTTGCCAATGGTGATACTGACACACACAATAAATTGATAAACTTTTGGTCTGATGTATATGGTTACAAAATGAATTGTATGAAATCTGAGGTAGTCAGAGAAGCAAGCGTGGATGTCGTCAGTTCCAAACATGTCATATCTGACGCTTTTGTTATAAAAGAGATAGACATTATGACTTGTGATATAAGTGTTATGGATTTTACGTCTGAGTTCCAGCTTGTTATTACAAAGGATGGTCATCTAACATCACTTATTGGCTATTTTGATACTTTCTTCGACCTTCCCAATAAAGTCTCTTTTTCCACAGGGCCTGGCGCTACGCCCACGCATTGGAAACAAACTGTATTTTATTTTAGAGATTGTAGGGCAGTAAAACAAGGTGATGTCATACAAGGCACTATCACATGCAATAGGCAAAAGTCTGATGTAAGAGCACTTTCAGTCCAAATTAATATGTTTGATAAGAGCCACAAGTACATTCTGAGCTAATGCATTGCATTTGTATAAAATATTTTCTGTCAAATTACAGTGTTGTCACTGAGTCATTCAAATGTGTCTATAATTCCGTAAGAGAGATTGTCATAGTTTTATAACGGCTGATGTACTACATTGTCTGTTCATAACCTTCCAAGTTTCCAACTTTTTAATGTTTAAATAATATTGGATTTTATAAGTAAATGTTTCTAATATTAGTGCCCTTTGTACTAACCATCAAAAAATCAACTCCATTTTTTTGCAACAAACAAATTATATTTGCCTGTAAGCCGACAATGCAGTGTCAGTGACTGATAGATTAAATAATTAATTACTGCAGAGTGCTATAAAGTTTATTAAAATTTTGAAAAAAGGTTTTGTTGACCTTTTTGGTGGAAAATACTGTTTTTCAATTTCTTGTCGCTTTAGCTTTCTAAACTTCTTGATTTTCTATTTGTTTCTTAGGTTTTCACCCACATCACTCATTATGTAAAACAATTTTGAATTGATGGTTGCTAACAGTAATCAGTCAGTTATGATAACACAGCCGTTTTGTGTATCAGCCATGTTATAAAAGCTAATTATGATGATTCGCAGAGTCTTGAAATATGTTGTAATTATTTTTTATGAAATGTTACAATAATTTTATACCTCAAGTACCTAGGTGTAAATAAAAGGCATTTTCTACGAAAATCTTTATTTTATTTTACATATATTTTACACATACCTATAGGTGTTTTTATTCCTATTTACATAAATATAAAAAGAAAACCTATAAAGTTGAAAAATCAACTTCTGAATTGAGATTTTTAGTTAATGCTTATAAATAATACAATATTAAGGTAGTGAGGAATTGTTTCATAGTGTGTAATTGTGTTTAAGTAAATCGGTTACAATGTTCATTTATTTAGCAGAACTATTACACAACAACATATTGATAAACATTTATCAATAAGCTAAGTGCTTTGGATACTAAATGCTTTACTTATACTTATCACGAGTAGTGTACTGTTTTCTAATATATGGAATGTAGACTTTTATGTTATAACAGCAATCAGTGTAAAGAAATATGGTAAGCATTCTGGATCAAGAGCATAGTGTTCAGTTGCAAGCTTATACAGGAACAACATACAATATACGATACAACGATATCCATAAGGCTCGGTATGCTAATTTCTACACTTTTATAAAGCTATATCCCTCAATCAAATGGCGTTTAATAAACTACTTTATAATATAGATTACATTGATTATCATTTTTCTTAAATTTTATTTAGTAGATACACTAAATGCACAATATACAGATTTTTTTCATTATACCTAGGTATATAATATTTCGAATAGACAATAAATATATAAAAAGCATTGAGGTACATTTATTATGTTCAGTTAAATATATTATACCTCAACGATAAAAAGAACAATAGTTAAACTACGTTAGAGTAAGCGTCACCATTTGGATTAAATCTATCTTAACATCCTCGACATTGTAAACAGGGACCTAAAATATCGTGATTATGGATTCTTTGTTTGATATTCAATGAAAATGGTCCCATGTTCCTATCAGGAAAAGTAGGCCTTCCATATGGTAGTAGATACTATGTATGTAGGTATATAGACGATATAAGTGCTATAATTTAATAAAGTTGGCATTTTGGTTGTTCCGAATTGGCTTTCGTTTATCGTTTTCGATTGATTAATTCCTCTCGAAAGCAGACAGTTGTACAAGAAGGACGGTACATTTACTTTGGGTCCGTCGACGGTTTTCTAAATCTTATTTAGATTTATTTATTATTTAGTCCCTTTCCTTAACTTTGTCCGTGTCAGCGTTCAGTCTTCGGGCTCTTATGGACATGCCCCACATCGTTTGCTATGTCTTGAGCGCCACCTAACCATACCAGCGGCTATTCCATACAAGGGCGGAACCAGGGGGGCGGGTCATGACCCCCCCCCCCCCTGGGCTGGGTACAGATGGACCAAACCCAGGGGGATTTTATTTAAGTACTTTCAATATTTAATATACCGCGACTATATGACCCCCCCTGGCGCCAAAGCTGGCTATATGACGCCCCCTGGCGCCAAAGCTGGCTATATGACCCCCCCTGGCGCCAAAGCTGGCTATATGACCCCCCCTGGCGCCAAAACTGGCTATATGACCCCCCCCCCCCCGGCGCCAAAGCTGGCTATATGACCCCCCCTGGCGCCAAAGTTGGCTATATGACCCCCCCCTGGCGCCAAAGCTGGCTATATGACCCCCCCCCCCTGGCGCCAAAGCTGGCTATATGACCCCCCCTGGCGCCAAAGCTGGCTATATGACCCCCCCCCCCCCCCTGGCGCCAAAGCTGGATCCGCCCTTAATTCCGTACCGTACCTATTTAGTTAAGTATCAATTAAACGGAGAACCAAATTGTTAAAGTTTATACACTTTATAATTCAATATGAAGTTTTTTTACTAACTATTACGTAATATAACTATCCACCTATAACTAGAATTTGAGATGGCAATTATTTAGAAAATAATTTCATATTAAATAACATTTGGTCAGGAATATCAAGATCTCCAATTTAATCGGAAACATTAAAATTAATAAGCGTATTTTTCATATGGGTTAAGATTAATACTAATTATGCTACGATTATCAAGTTATCATTGTAATAGGTACTATAATAGTCGTAGAGTTCTTCTATAAATAGTAATGTTTTCATCAAAGAGAAGTGCATGATTTTATGATATAAATTGTTGCTCCATCACCAGCATTTTTGATATAGAAATTCTTATACTTACATATTATAATTTTACTTATTTTTATTTCATCTATTTCCAAATTATTTTCAGTACAATCTGTCATGAGATGAGTGGAAAGGAATACCTACTAACGAACACGTACTACCTCATAAGCTCACAGAATCCATAGCAGTTCACGTTTACCATCTGAACAATAAGAACGATTTAAATCGTACGATTACCTTAAATATTAACCAGTTTACATCCAAGTGAGTTCTCAGTTGAGATGAGAGAAACATTAGAAGCTTGGAAAGAAATTGGGCCTGCCCAAATAAACCTTATTTAGCGAATTACAATAAACTCTTAAACTAGGGCGGGCGCTTTGCCGCCGTGTTTGCTCACTATGTCGTCTTCCACGTAGACAATTATACAATCAGGCGTTACGTTGTGCTTCGATTCACCACGTAGAAAAGTATACATTGAGGTGTCATGTTGTGCTCCCGAGTCATCACGTAGACAGTTGTCACGTTGAGTTCCCGAGCCATAGTTTGTGCGTACACAACAAAAATAGAAGCTTAGTTTAGCTTTTCTTTATTAGAGAGTAAAATACGTTGTAACAACTAGTTTTAACACTATTTACAAGTGTGGCCAAATATTATTCTTCCGTGGGCGGAGGAGGATTGTTGCTTTCTTCTTCTTGCTTAGCGCGAGCTTCGGCATCTGGAATAAATGTTTGTATCTAAAGAAAATATAACTAGAAAAAAATCCACGCGGACCAGGCAGCAGACGGGACTCGAACCCGCACCCTTCGCAATCCGGGCGAATGCACTGACCAATTATGCTACCGCGGCCCTCACGCCCGCGTCGAAATTCTTCTAGCCCTTCTTAAGCTGCTAGGCAGCGCCATCTCTTCGCATTATAGGTAACCCACAATGTCAAATGAATACTTTTACAAGTATTAAACATTTGAAAGAAGAAATAGCAATTATAGTTATAATTTTTGTTATTTTAAAGCATGTAACTGCATGATGTTTAAATCTAAAGAAAATATAACTAGAAAAAAAAATCCACGCGTACCAGGCAGCAGACAGCAGTGGTCAGTGCATTCGCCCGGATTGCGAAGGGTGCGGGTTTTTTTTCTAGTTATATTTTCTTTAGATTTAAACATCAAGCAGTTACATGCTTTAAAATAACAAAAATTATAACTATAAATGATTGTGTTAAATCAGTAATACCGGCCATACACACTACGAGAAATCGTTACGATTAGACTGTACAGTCCGAACGGTACCGATAAATCGTAGCGTGTATGTTATAAAACTGCACAGTTTCCTACACTAAACGATATCGTATAAACTGTTCCGTTCGAACTGTATTATATATATGTAGTCTGATCGTAACGATTTCTCGTAGTGTGTATGGCCGGTATAAAAGAGCTGCTAAGAGGCAATGTGGCTCCAAGGTGAAATGCAGAGCACACAAGGTATAAAAATAGATCATTTCTGATATTTCACATCTTGTACTTTGATTCTACGCTATTTTTAATAAGAGCCCTTTTACAAAATTGCACCGCTGCCGTACTAATCGGCGCGTAGGTAGATTTGCATTAGTATATATTGCATTTTACGGGTGATAATAATAAATAATAATAGATATAAAAAAATAATTATTAATGAACTAATTATAAAAATATACACATATTTCAGTAGTTTAATGATGGTAGATTAGTTTTATGAAAGTTTTTGATAGTAATCTACTATATAAAAATAAGTCGGGTTTTCCTTCCTGACGCTATAACTCCAGAATGCACGAACCGATTTCCACGGTTTTGCATTCGTTGGAAAGGTCTCGGGCTCCGTGAGGTTTATAGCAAAGAAAATTCAGGAAAAATCGCAAAAAAAATCTTCTTTTAATCACCAAACGAAATGTTACATAAAACGAAGCCATCTGATGGCGAAACGGAGTTCGCCTGGTTTGCTAGTTCTATTTAATTCAATATCAACATACGAGGTAAACCTGCATTATTTTTTGGGAAAACTCACGGAGATTAGATGTATTTTTGATAATTAATGAGATAGAAAATCAATTTTTCTAATAAATTATGTTACAACAAAAACATATTTCTGATATCTTAGCAATTAATTTGATCTAATTTATTGAACACTTTTGAGAGATTCAGGCGTTTGAAGTTGTGCATATTATCGTTTTTTCTGTAAACTAGCTGCAGTATAACGATCAGTACATAAAAAGGAAAATTGTATTTGCAAATATTCTACATTAACTTACAATAGGAAGAATAATTCTACTGTTAACTTCTATTGGAAATAGTAAAAATCTTTTCTAAAGGGGTAAATAAGGCGCTCAAAAATTACGATTTTTTGCAAAAAATGTGAAAGGGCTCTTAAGTTGGCTATTCAGAATATTTTTAGATATGTACGGTCGAATAATGTAAAGCTTTTTATCACCTTTTGTAGCTTGTTCTTTCCATATTTTCTTATTATCACTCAGACAAGCTATCCACGGCTTCCTGATCTTGAACTTGGCATTGCCTTCGTTACCTGAAACGAACGCCAGTAGTCACTTAGATGTACAATATCCTATACATAACCTTAGATTAAAACAAAAAGGGTAGATACGGCACTAGCCTCACAAAAGTGATCCGCATGAATTGTGGTCCACGACCCTAATCGCTTTAGTCACAACTTGACATGCAAACGACGTACATGTGAACGCAACGCCAAAAAGAAATATTGCTAATATTTTGTGTTTATATGATAAAACAATGCCTAAGTGTGTTTTGAAAAAGTGCTCAAATTGCTCAAAAACTAAAAATAAAACCACGGCATCACTTTTCATTCGTAAGTAGGTACTATAAAATATTTTTTTTTCATCATAAAAATTGCTGTTTGTTTTGAATCTTATTCGGTGGTGACGTCGAGTACTGGTCGCGTGTTTGGTCGGTAGTGCAGTGACGCGGATCTCGCCGTCTCGTTCGCGCTGCCGTTGAAACTTAACGTGCTGTTTCGTTTGGGTCGGTAATGCAGTGACGCGGATCTCGCCGTCCCGTTCGCGCTGCCGTGGGATCAGTTTCATGATCAGTTACCCTATATACAATATTAGTCTATGATCAGTTTTTGTTTGATGCAAGTATGAGCGTACCGTATCTACCCTTTTTGTTTTAATCAAAGTACATAACTTATCATTATCAGCCTATTAATGTCCCCACTGTCATGACTCACGTAAGGGCGAGTGGGAGTGCAGATGCAAGCAGCCGGGTTGAACGACTTCAAGTTTATAATTAGACGAAATAATAATAATAACTTTATTTGGAACAAGTGCAATGTACATAAAATTATGAATCGTTAAAACTGCTTTAGTTTTACAAAAACTGTGTTGCAGAATTAACGCCCATTCCCGTATAATATGAAACAGTGTTCCTATCAATGTATAAAATTAATTAAAACAAACTGTGTACAGAGAAAATTAAAATGCGACAAAAATATCCACAATTTAAAATCCATCGAAGGTAATTTCAAAACAGAAAATATGTCCGAGTGCATTTTTACCAATATTATAACAAACCAATACTAAATTTTACCAAAAAATTAAAAATAAGGACTAAAATATATAACATTTGAATTTTTATGCTCACATTAGAAGGTAGGTAAACACAGATAATACAAATCTATTAAAATTACAATATTAAACCTACCTAAATATTCGATCTAACTACAGTACAACCCGTTTAATACGATTTCTCGCATAATACGCCATTTTGCGTCAGTCCCTGCAACTTGAGACATGTTTCCTTACATTTTTTAACGCTTAATACGATTCGTCATCCCGTTTAATATGCCTGAATCGCCAACTAGTACCACACATATTACCTCTTGCAGCAGCATAAAATTCAATGAGAATGTGAATAATGCACAAGAAGATGCCCTAACTGATAATGATTAAGTTGAAGATGAGTCAACTCCAATTTTGTCTTCTTCGAATCAAAGCGAAAACGCACTGTAAAAGTTTAATTATGTTGAAAATCTTGCATTTGCTAATGCCTCAAAATCTTTTTGACAAACCGAAATAAGTGATTAATTTAAATAACGTAATAATAAATAATAATAGGAGGAGGAGCTCGATGGCGCAGGTGGTTAGCGCGTTCGGCTGCGATCGTTGTAGTTAAGCAACTTTCGTAGTGGTCGGTCATTGGATGGGTGACCAAAAAACAATTTCTATCTCGAGTTCCTCCGTGCCAGAAGACACGTTAAGCCGTTGGTCCCGGCTGCATCTGCAGTCGTTAGCACCCGCCAATCCGCACTGGGCCCGCGTGGTGGGTCATGGCCCAATCTCCCTATTCCATCCATAGGAGAGGCCTGTGCCCCAGCAGTGGGGATATTAAGAGGCTGATGATGATGATGATGATGATGATGAATACACTACATTTTTTATTACATACAGCATTCTTAAATATTGTACAATACATATTCCAGATTTTCCTATCCCGCTTAATACGCTTTCCCGCTTAAGACGCGTTTTTGATTGAGACCCTGTGAAATCGTCTTAAACGGGTTTTACTGTATATTGTAAAGGAAAGTGTTGTTGTTGTAAACTTTCCACTAACGGGGACGAGTTGTGAATGTAAACCATCTTGGGACCCACTGAACGCAGAAAGAGGTTAAAAGCTTAGATTAAAACAAAAAGGGAAGATACGGCATTCGCGGCTCAAAAGTGATCCGCTTAAATTGTGGCCCACGACCATAATTCGCTTTAGTCACAATTTGACATTCAAACACGCTGCTTGTACACTCAATATAACAATATTGCGTATATTCTGTGTTATGAAGATATAACAATGCCTTCGATGCTTTTATAAAGAACACAAATAGTTCAAAATCAAAGGACACCCGGCATTTTGTGCCAAAGTTGTATACTTTTTTAATTTTTTTATCTGTGTTTCATAATTGGGTAACGTAGACTGGCAATATTTGTCATCAGCAGCTAGCTGTCAATGTCAAATACGTAGGTTTGTCATCAAAAGGGTTTCTATATCAAAAAATATTAATCATTAAATAACTTCTTTCCACGATTCACTAAAAATAAGGCAAAAGTAGTTTTATGTAGCAAATAATTTTGACTTTATTTTGGGACCAAATTCAATTGTATACAAGTTTAGCATTTTTTCTATGAAAAGTGCCGGGTCTCCTTTGGCAACACTTTTCCTTTGTAAAACTGTAAAAACATTTTTTTCCCAAAATCACGGTTTGTCGTGAGTATTATTTACGTAATCGCCATTTTGTAAGCAAGAAAAGGACAACAATACGCTGCGTCGAAGCGTATAGTTCTGTCTCGCTCTTTGATGATGATTGATGTTTATACATATGTGCAACGTGCAGACGTGTGCGTGCCAAGAGTTGCTTATGTAGTTGTGTCGGATCGTATTTTATTTGATGCTAGTATGAGCGTACCGTATCTACCCTTTTTGTTTTAGTCTAAGGTTAAAAGGGTGATTGGTGAAAAAAGAAAGGGAGGGCGGGTGAAGGGTTCCCGTACAAAAAAGACCGTTTGTACGGGAACAGTTGTCGCCGGCTCGCCCCCACTACAATTCCACCTAATAGATACAGTGAAACCTAGTTGATTGGGATCTCAAGGGACCAATACATATGTACCAATTATTGAGGGTATCCAATAATCCAGTTTTCCAATTAAACAGGTTTAAAATTATAGTTGTCTCATTTACAGAGTCCTCGCTTACAGAGGTCCAAATATGCCGTTATTCCCTTGTTTTTAGGTCAAAACCTGAGATAGTACTGACAAACAAAGCATGCGCGAAAGACGATGCGAAATGTATGTAAACAAACAAGTCAAAACGTGTTACAACCTGATTAATTAGTCTCAATTATACAGGTAATTGAGCTTCAGAGTCTCAATTATAGAGGTAAACTTCGAAAGAGTATTAGAATTCAAATCTCATTTAACCAGGTTCAAAAAGTCAAATGAAAAAGAACCGGGACCTCATTGCAACTCTCAATAATAGAGGTTTCTCACTTATCCAGGTCCCACTTAACCAGGTTTCACTGTAATAGCCAATCAAAGAACGCGCCATCAGACAATTGAACCAATCAACGCTCACACCCGAGAGCAACGACGCAATCAGAACCAAGTATTGATCAAGTTATGGTGCTTACTTCGGGGCTAGGCTAATTAGTGTGAGTGTTGGAAATAATTTATTATTTATTTATATCGGCACACAGTGTAGTGATTAACATGCATACTGCGATAAGACGTCCATTAGACGATGGGTTTTGCTGTCAATTTGTTGGCAGTTATGGTTTTTTTTATGTTCAAAGGGTGGCATACAAGCATATGAACCTTATAGTAATATAAGTTGTTTACGGGATTGTTACCATGTACCTTGTTTTTAGCGAGTTTCGGGTATCGAACGTAATAAAAGACTTTGTCGGAGGGTAAAACGATATGTCTGCCAATAACAGTCTACCCGCAATTAATTCAGTTACTCTACGGAGTAACTGTAATCATGGCGCTTGCAACAGTCCCGAAATATCGGAAACTCGCTAATAACAAGGTATTTGGTAACAATCCCGTAAATAATTTATATTAATATAATGTTAGTGACCATGAAAGTTTAAAACAATATAAAGCATATGTGCCGTCTGATGTTAAGCGGCCGCCAAATCCTCGTGCCGTTGTTGCCTTTCCTGACCCAACCCCCCACCCATTTCCAAAAGATAGTGTTATTTTACCGTGGTCTTCTGTGAGTCAGAGGTTACTTCCTCAGACAGACGCTCTAATTCGAGTGGAAAATCCGCTATGCCGTACCTACCTCTCTTTTTAGTCGCCATTTGTTTTTTATCATTCATGAGTAGAATTGGTGTAAAAGTAATGGTATAGTCTCACCCTGGTGCGGCCGATTGAAGCCAGAACCCAGATTGTAGGAAGGAGGGAACACGTGCGCGGGCAAAGTATTCCACTTGCCAATAGTACCACTGTAGGAAGGCCAAAAGGGAAGATCTTCCTCCGAGCTGGGTGATGGTAGCTCGGGGGCCGCGGCCCGACTGATGTTGGTCGGGCATCGTATGTATGAAGAGTTAGCATCCGAATTTCATTTGCGCGATGTGGGCTTCCATACTAATATTGATCGCACTGCAGGTAACGCCATCTCTTGAGGATGGTGAGTATTGATTTCCTACATCCGTTGTATATCTGTGGGGCATATAGATGTCGCCGCCACACCACTTTCGAGCATGGCGCACACCGCCATGCTGGGTTCCACGATGAACTCGATGAGGCAGAGCTTAGACGGCTGATAGGCTGCGATAGTGATAGTTTAGCTGTCTCACCCTGCGTATCGTCGTTGGTGAGTGCGGGAGTATGAGCAGGAGTATAGGCGGGTGCGGCTGCGAGCGGTCCTAACACACATTTTTTTTATAGTCAGACAAATGACTACCCCACCTGATGTTAAGTGGTGATAGAGTCCAGACGCAAAGATAGTTAGTACAGCAGTTATAAACTGCCACACCAACCATCCTCACATTCCGTCCTTTTTTTGTGACGCAGGCAAAAACTCTGTTTACAGACGACGGCGCCTTTAAGAGGCACACCACAGAACGGACCTCACACCTGGCTCTCGCAAACCTTACGAGCCCCCACAGTGGCTGCCCACTGAGGACCCCGTAACTGTTACGGGCGCTTTACAGCATAATATCCGCTAAAAAACCCTGCGAATACCCCCTAAGCTGCTCAGTGCGAAACCGCGGGATCCCCGTTTAGGGATTCTTCCGCGTCTCCGCACCCAGCAGCCTCCCGGCCTAGCCGGGGCTCCACGGCAGGGGTCTCCCGGGGTATGGCGGGGACCCCGCAGACGTGCGCAGGATGGCCCGCGCGTGGTCACCTTGCCGACCTGTAAAAATGCTCTTTCACGCCTCTCTTAAAGGACTCCAGATTGTAGGAAGGAGGGAACACGTGCGCGGGCAAAGCATTCCACTTGCCAATAGTACCACTTTCCAGCATGTCGGCGCACACCGCCATGCTGGGCTCCACGATGAACTCGATGAGGCAGATCTTCGACGGCTGATAGGATAGTGATAGTGATAGTATAGCTGTCTCACCCTGCGTATCGTCGTTGGAGACGGCGGGAGTACGAGCCAGAGTAGAGCCGGGAGCGGCGGCGAGCGGTCCCAGCACACACTCCAGCATGTCGGCGCACACCGCCATGCTGGGCTCCACGATGAACTCGATGAAGCCGATCTGCGACTCGGCCACGAGCGTATTGTTGCGGTCGCACAGCGGGCTGAAGGGCAGCCCCAGCTCGCGCTCCTTGTCGCCCTGCAGGAAGAACTCGTCCAGGAGGCTCATCGTCCACCTGTGGTGCAGGTCCCATCTCTGGAAACATACTTATTTATTATTTATTGACGTGACAACGTCTTAAATTAGGTTGCGGCTGGGAGTCACTTATGAAAAAGTGTAACGCTCGGTAACGTTACGATGAGTCTCTCGTGTTAAGTTTAAGTTTACATGTACAATGTTTTAGTAAACAAAATATATTTCTATAGTTAAAATTTGTGCAATTCTTATTTTCATTCAATTCCTTGTTCCTATTGTGCAATTTAATTATATTCATATCAATAAATATTCTACCGAGAAAAAGACGTTGTCACGTAAAATCTTCGCCCGTAAAACCGACTTTACAGGCAACCATTTTTTTTACGATTTATTGTGATGATTTCATGCTTTTAAAAATGGAAAATGCCTAAATTGAAATAAAAAATATTGAAAAGTAAAGAAAACATAAAAAAGGTACATGAGACTCAAGAGAATAACGAAGATATTTTTGAAAATAGTAAACCAGGTACAAAAATTACAAAGATTTTAGACACTCGTTAGTTCGATGGAAAAGACCTTGCACTGTTTATGAAGAAAGTAATCACCATTTTATGTGTAACTGTTTTATTAGTGAATATTAGATCTTTTTCTGTTCTGCTATCATTTTAAGTTTTATCAATGTTGATTTAAATAAAGATGTATGCAAAGTAAAGCCGTATTTTTATTTAATATTAGTTAGCACAATAAGTTTAGGTAAAAAGAATATTTTCATAAGTGACAGAGAATCATAACAAGTCAGTAGCTATAGCTAAAAGACAATGGGCAATATTGTAGAGATGTGGTCTCTTTATATTTTAACAGGTAGGCAAGTATTAAATAAATACTTTTGATATTATAAATATGAATACCTATAACTGTTACTTTATTACAAAAAATAAAGATGTGGTTTTTGGTTCTACTACACCAATGGTCAAGAGATGGCGCTGTAGTCTCCTGAACCGCGCTTTGGTTCCGTTGTTCCAGATTAATAAATACTTTTGATAGGCCTTCACAATACAGTCGTTAGCACCCACTAAATAGAGATTCTATTTTGTTGGTAGATTTTCTTAATGTGCGGTAAACACAAAAGTAACAGCATGAAGACCAACTTCATGCTGTTAAAATTTTGTGTTACAGTGATGCGCGCGCATCTTAAAATTTCAAAAAAGTGTTCATGCATGTTCATGTTCAAAATATGATCAAAACAAACAGCTACCTTCGCCGGATGCGAGATGTCGCAGCAGTGCAGCACCAGCGAGGCGGCCTTGGACTTGTCGACGGTGGGCTCGGCCAGTGACAGCAGCGAGCGCATGTTCTTCAGCTGCTGGAAGTGGAACGACATGTCCGTCGCCAGCACCATGTCAATCACCAGCGTGCGGAACTCGCGGAACTCGTCCCGGGACAGGTTCTGAAGGATGTTGCAGTCCTCCTCGCGTATCAGCCTGGAATTTTTCATCATCATGATCAGCATATTAATTTGCCAACTGCAGGGGCAAATGCCTTCCCTATGGATGGAATAGAGAAATTGGGCCATTACCAACCAAGCGGTCACAGTGCAGATTGGTGGGTGCTAATGACTGCAGGTGCAACCGGGTTTAACGGCTTGACGTGTCTTCCGAAGCACGGAGGAGTTCGAGATAGTAAATTTTTGGTCACCCATCCAATGACCGAACACTGCGAAAGTTGCTTAACATAAACGATCGCAGCTGAACGCGCTAATGACTTGCGCCACGAGTACCTCAACATCTTTTCATACGAGAGTTTTTATTCGACAATGTTATTACAAATCAGCAGCCGTACCTCATCTTAAAGTTATCTTTGAATATATTATATCATTGTCGTCCATCCAACTATAGATAAATAGTTTTCAAAGCTGAAAGTAGGACATGACAAAGACGAGGTCGATTTTTTAAAAGAACGCGTTTCTTACGTAAGTAAGAAACGCGTTCTTTTAAAAACAGTGTCGTCTAATTGTAAAATTAGACCGCTCATTTTCTGGTATGGCAGATCATTTGGTGGTTAAACAAAAATGGATTACCACAAGGGACAAGAACCGAAGCTACCTATTTTACCTATATTATACAAATTGAAGCTTCGAGTTCTAGATGCGCAAAACACCACAGCAAATTACGTTTTTTATTCGAGATTTATTATATACTGAAGTGAAAGTATACGTTATGTGAATTCCAAATAAAACCAAATATAATGAAACGTGTTAATTTATTAACTAGCAAACCAGTGAACCAAATGTTCACCAAAACCTGATTTCTCGAAAACCGGAAGTGCTACGTTACTCAAATCCGGTTTGTAGTCTTATCAGACTATTCTTAACTTATAACTGAAATATTCTCTTTATCTATCTCTTACGGTTTGGCCGCTGAAATAGCACCACAGACAGACGGACTTGTCTAATAGATAAGAGATCCTGTTCAAGATAATTAACATTATTTTTTGGACAGAACGGGCTTCGAACACATTGTTTTTAAAAACTACTTTAAAGATTCCATCGTTGATTGTTGAATAATCTATTGTTTAGTGAGTTTCAGTAGTCGATCTTGCTATCAATTAATGGTGTAGTGTAAACAATCAAACATAATAATAATATTGTAAGTCTATCCACAATTAACACTGGCGGGGTACGCGCAACCAATTAGACAGTGTTTGTATCATTTTATCCCGACGGGCGGTGCTGGGGTCAGCTCTGATGGATGGGGCAGAGCAACATTGATTACACCCACTGATATTGTTGACATTCATGACAAATCTGTTCGACCTCGGAACAAATGTCCTTTGTTTTATTTTTCTACCTAAAAAGTTGCTGGGGACCTAATTGTGTTTGTTTTACCGCTGGTCTCAGTTAATTGGTAGACTCAGTAAATATTCGTTACAGCAACATTGTATTAGTGCTCTTTTGTTTCAGCATCGACTTTCAATCGATTTTTTTTTAATAGATATTAGGTATTATTATTATGGTATTATCATACCAGGATGCTTCAAATAATAACGTGCCAATATATCGTCAAATTAATAAAACCTCTTTCTTGTAATGTTATTATATTATTAAATAAACAAAAATATATTATTAAGTATATAACTCAAACTCATTTATTCAGTCTAGGCTGTTACAAGCTCTTGTGAAAGTCAAACGCTACGCCATCGGTTCGTAAATCTACGGCGGGAGACCTTGTACTGAGAAGAACCGGCAAGAAACTCAGCAAGGGCTATTTTTCTCTCCCTGTTTTGTTTCAAACAGTGTCGTCAATTGAAAGATGACATCAAAAATTGAAAACATGTGTTGATGTCAACTTCCATCACATTAATATTATTAATTAACAAAAGCTGGGTACTACTTTTAAATTTAGAAGTGGCGATTAAACAATTTTCAACCAAATCAGCAAAGTAAAACGATTAAGTCTGTTATATTATGCCCCGTTATATATTATTAAGTAGAGAAAAATACGTAAAGTGTCTAGTGCCAGCTTCTTCCAAAATAGTTCCAGTTTCATTACGTCGTAATAAACAATCACAAATGAGTACACGGTTCATTAGGATTCTTTCAGTAAGTTCGTGAGGCACCCAAATATGAAGCTTTTTTCTGTACACAGCTTTATTCAAGTACGCCAAAACTGTTTTGTGGTCAATTCCCAGTTCATAAGCTACGTTGTAACTACTATATGCTGATCTAGCTCCTCCTTTTCAAAAATGGCATCCATTTGACATCAAAATTTCCGGATTGAAAACGCTTAGACCAAATTTGTGCTACTCTCATAGGCACTGCACTAGGTCCGTAAACATCGCAAATTGTTTCGCGGCTTGCATTGCATTTGTACCTTTTTTGGTGTAAAATTTTAAAATGTATCGATTTTTTTTTCTAAATGGCTTCGCACGGCTTGTGCATTTAGCCAATGTCAAGTGTTAAAAATGTTAACAAATTCTATAGCACTCGTGGTCAAAGTAATAAGTCAAGTCAAAGTCAGTGGCAGTCAAGTCAATCCCCCTTTCCCTATGTGTTAGTAAATGTATGGTGATTTACTGGAACCTCCCCGTGGACTTCTTGAGGGAACGTCGAAAGACACTTTCCGCTATTTCGTTTCACTTGCCAACACTTGTGCATGTTCCCGAACACTTAGTGGTTAATAATCCACCATTATTAGACACTAACATCCGCCACAACACAATTTTTAACAAGAAAAACAAAACTGCTAAAGTCACGCTTTCCGATCCCGCCAGAAAGTCCATGTATCGAATTTCTTCATTGGATTCACTTGACAGCAAGAAAAACAAATGAAAATCACTCATTTTTCTAATTTGAATTTGAAATTATCTTTTTTTTAAATTTAAACTTTTTAATGATACCAAAACCAGCCAGATATAATGGTACCTATAGCCGAGGTGATTTTATTACAAGTTCATACATCATACTATAATGGGAAAAGCGAAAAACTAACCTCTTTGTTTGCAAATTATATTGGTAAATCTATCAGATTCATAGTAGCTGGATAGTGTTCCCTTAATAAGAAAGATACCTAGGCAGGTAGGTGATAGGTATCACGTAATATTTTACGTGAAAGTGAACATGAAACTTACCCATGGGAGACTATTATCCCGATATAAGAAGCTATCAAGAATCCCTTTTTCTATTTGCCACTTTTCTTCCTCCTAGATAATTTCTTCAACCGTGAATTTACGCAAAATATTTTTATAGCACTTATACAGAAATTTAATGAAATCAAATCGAAGCTAATTTCCATTTACCATTTTTTGTGTTTCATAGTTAACAATCAACCTTATAGTTTCGACTTGTTGTCTATATGCAGCTTAGCTCAGAGACTATAATTTGTTACTGTACTAGAAAACCGTAATTTGGTTTAAATAAATATAATGCCGAAGAACCGATAGCCATTGGGGTAGACGAGTTCTGGAGTGGAGACCGCATCTAGGCAAACGTAGTGTAGGACGTCGTCAGGCGCGATGGAGTGACGATTTGCGCAAGGTGGCTGGCAGGAGCTGGATGCGAGTAGCCCAAGATCGATCTGAGTGGCGTGCAATTGGAGAGGCCTATGTCCAGCAGTGGACTAAGATAGGCTGTTGATAATGATGATTGATGAAATATAATGCTCAGATACTGTTCTTTTTGTTTAGAACTTGTTCCAAAATGTTACTTATAAGTTTTACATTTGCGCGCTGCGATGGGCTATGCGATGCTATAAAACTCTTCATTGCGCTTTCGATCTCTATTTAAACCTGTTACGTGAAATTCACTAAGGACTTGTTTGCTAATACGATATTTACCTACTTCAGACTTTATAGCTAAGCTTGGTTCATTTGACGATATTTCCGTAGAATTTACTATTTTTTAGAGTAACGTTTCGCCCGTCTAGCCCCTACAATTTGCATACTGATCAAAGCCATCCTCGACGTCTGCCCGCGACCGGCGACCGGCGGGTTCCCTCCGTATTTAATGTTATGTTTCCATTCCTCTAATTGCTAGATTTTGGGAAAGTGCACGTGGTATTTTTAACATTTTACGTCAAGCCCTACCCTAGTATTTTGCTTGTTTTAATTTTATTTCCATAAATCGGTAAAAATAGAATTACAGTAGGTACTATCGCGGAATTTTGCGCTCTGTCACTTGGCGAAAAAAAGGCTTTCAACGGTTTTCTACAGTAGTTTTTGCTACGCCCCGCCTTCGCGTCAATCCGGGCCGCTGCACAAAAGTAAGACAGAGAGCATTTCATTGATTGAATAATGAATTGAATTGCATTTGATTTAGTTGCAATTTGTCATCCGCATCGTGATCGCGACAGCGCTATACGAAAAAGTAAGACAGCGATAATTACATGTCTATGAATGATTTTTTTACTACGCCGCTACCGCAAGCGATTATGGCATTATGGGTGACAGAGCGGGTATTTTCGCGAGTGTACATGGTAGGTATTATAGAAAATAGCTAAATTATAAGTTTTCAGGAACTCAAAGGCTTGAAGGAAGTTGTACTTAAAAAGCCATATTGAATGTCGAAGCAAAGCGTTCAGCTTATATTTATAAAGATTTTATTTGTACATATTCCCCGAAATAATCTGTAATGTAAAGATAGGCAGGCAAACTTACGGTAATGTTGAAGACTGAGGGGTAGTATTCATATGCGGTCGCCAATGAATCCTAATAAGACCTGACACTTGGTACTTCTTTGCTTTGTTGCAATACTACTATTAAAAAATACAGGATCGCACCTGAGCTTTATAAAGATAAATCAATGGGACATAACTTAGCGCCTAGCTTTTTAGAAGATGCCAAGTTTACTTTCCCACGTGGAAAGATATTGGGCCAAACTTCTGACTCCATGTAAACAGTCAGTTCTCGGTCGCCGGTAGTGACTGATTTGGAGTCAGTAACCTCCCGAAGTTTTCAGGCCCTGTGCTGCTTAATAATAGCGGTTTCATTTATTCTTTATGTCTATATTATAGAAATATGGTGCAACAGTGACCTGAAGACGGCACTGATATGATCGTTCTCCAGAACAGTGCCATCGTTGTATAATGCGATTCAAATAAGAATAGGAAAGCCAATGACCTCCATCTGTCAAATGTCGCTTGAAAAGTACGGCTTGCAAAAAAAACCTTGGAACCCTTTTTTAGCACTCAGCTAATTATGGAATAAAAACCAAACATTTGTAAACAAACAATAACAAATATTGTTAATTAATATTGGTTGATATATTATTTTCATTTATTGAGCTTTGGGTATGAATGTTTGATAACCTAAATCGTCAACCAAATGTCACTTTAAGTTACGTTCAAAAACTCGATTTAAAACTTTGGTTTACATATAGGATGCATGTTCGTATGTGACCTAGTAATAGCGCATGATTATTCATAACTACTCCGGCGGTAATGCAGAGATGAGCGGAATTGAAGAGCTTAATTCTGATTAATGTTTTTTCTCGCACAGTCTTAATAAATAAAGATTATTATAAATCGGTTATTTTCTTTTCTCGATTTTAGTAAATAAATTTTATTAAAGAATCGGATGTTTTTTCTCACTTAATCTTAGTAAATAAGTTTTATTGGATAAAAACTTTTTTGCTCACTCTACCTTATTCGTTTGAATTGACAGCTATGACGTCACAATATGGCGCCCCGTCGATCCTATTCTTAGTTGAATCGCATTATACAACAGCGCGGTGTCGGAGCCCGACATCACGTGGCAGTTGTGGGTGATGCCTGACTATTAAAGAGATACGTAGTGCGGAGACAGTGACCTGAAGGCGGCGCTGATGTGATGATTCTCCAGAACAGCGCGGTCGTTGTACAACAGCGCGGTGTCGGAGCCCGACATCACGTGGCAGTTGTGGGTGATGCCTGACTATTATAGAGATACGTAGTGCGGAGACAGTGACCTGAAGGCGGCGCTGATGTGATGATTCTCCAGAACAGCGCGGTCGTTGTACAACAGCGCGGTGTCGGAGCCCGACATCACGTGGAAGTTGTTGGTGGTGCCGGTGTGCTCGAAGTCGTGGACCACCGCCGCCACCAGCGTCGCGAAGATCTCCAGGTCCGACAGCCAGTTCTGTAACACATAATAATAATGTGTTAAGCCCTAAAATTTACTTTGTGCATTTTCATTTATCTAATAATTATTCATAGTTCAATGTCAGTAGATTTTTCATTTCTTAGTATAGTTTTATGTGTGTTAGATAAATGTTAAAAATCAAATAAATGAATTATTTTATTTTATTTACCATAAAAAATAAAATAGTATCCGCAACTTCAAAAAAAAAAAGTTGTCAGACAATTTAGTTATATTGAAGCATTGAAATATCGACCCTAAAGCAATTGATAGAATCTGTTGTTGTTGTTGTGGTAGGGTTGTGTTGTGGCAGGTTCGTGTTGTGCCCCCGAGGGTCGGGGACCCGACCACGGGGGGTTGGGGGTCTGGGACAAAGGCTTTGCTGATACCCTTCCCCCATCGTGTGAAGATGGAACCGCAGGAGGTGTTTTTAGTGGGTAGTCGCGGTGCGGCGTGAGGAATATGCCCCGTGGAGTCCCACATACCCCCACGGCAGGGCACGGTCGTGGGAAGTGCGTAAATGCATTTTCACCTTCCCCAAAAAAAAAAAGGGTCGTGTGTGCCACTCGCAGCTCTCTCACCATGAGTCCGGTCTGACAGAGCATGTAATGTGCAGTCTGCGCGATGTCGGCCACGTGCATGTTTTTGTGGTAGGGTTGTGTTGTGGTGGGGTTGTGTTGTGGTAGGGTTGTGTTGTTGCAGGGTTGTGTTGTGGCAGGGTTGTGTTGTGGCAGGGTTGTGTTGTGCCACTCGCAGCTCACTCACCATGAGTCCCGTCTGACAGAGCATGTAATGTACAGTCTGTGTGACATCGGCCGCGTTCAGGTTGTTGTGGTAGGGTTGTGTTGTGGTAGGGTTGTGTTGTGGTAGGGTTGTGTTGTGGCAGGGTTGTGTTGTGGCAGGGTTGTGTTGTGGCAGGGTTGTGTTGTGGTAGGGTTGTGTTGTGGCAGGGTTGTGTTGTGGCAGGGTTGTGTTGTGGCAGGGTTGTGTTGTGGTAGGGTTGTGTTGTGGTAGGGTTGTGTTGTGGTAGGGTTGTGTTGTGGCAGGGTTGTGTTGTGGCAGGGTTGTGTTGTGGCAGGGTTGTGTTGTGGTAGGGTTGTGTTGTGGCAGGGTTGTGTTGTGGTAGGGTTGTGTTGTGGTCAACAGGAGAATACATGGCAGCTAGAGGTGGCCAGGAAGAGCCACAAGCATCGCCATCACAATTCAGTGATATCTCGGTCGCCGGATTTATCGAGACTTATGACGATTTACCCCCCGTAGATCCGGCACGGGCGGAGGAGGACGCCAGGAGGGCAATGGAGTGGTGTGAAGAAGAGCGGGCGGAGCTACGCCGCGAGGTGGCGGGACGGGCATCGATGGCCTCAGAGATTTTGGCTCGCCCAGAAAGCGGAAGGGCGGCAGAAATTGAGCGACACGAACTGACGGAAAGTGACATGATGACCTCACAGGCACTGAAGAAGCGCGCCCAAGAGCAACTGGCGCAAATAAGAACGGTGACCCGTAAGTCCAAAAACATTAAGGGGACTTGCCATAAGCAAATCATGGACGCGGCCAGAGCGGTGGAAGAAGTCGTGTACAATCTTGAGGCTCGCACGGCTTCCGATGAAGTCCAAAGGCTTCGAAACGATAATGCACGACTACAGCAGGAGGTGACATTGCTGCGGGGAGAAATGGATGCACTGAGGGAGGCCATCAAGCGTCAGTCCCCTGAACCGCGACCAGCCCCTGCGCAACAGCAGCCCATCATGGTAGCCGAGGTCATTGAAGAATTGAAACGCTCCCTTATGATATCAATAGGGGAGATGGTCAATACACGGCTGGCCTCATTGGAATCAAGACTTCCACCACAGGAGAGACTCCGCCCACCACTAGCGGCGGATAGACGAGCGAGAGAAAATGCTCTAAACTCGGAGCCCCAACCTGGGACGAGCGGGACGGCTTCAGCAACACAGGCTTGGAGCACCGTAGTCAAAAAGAAGGGGAAGAATAAAACTAAGATGAACGACGCAGTTCCACCGCAGGGCGCTGAACCTGCTTCGAAAACAGCGCCAGCATTAGCGCAGAAGAAGGCTAAGGGGCAGCCACAACAACCCCCCAGAGAGAAAGCGGCAACCAAGAAGAAAATTAAGCTCAGAGTACCAAATACCGCCGCAGTGGTACTTAAGCTAAAGCCTGAGGCCATAGAGAGTGGCCTAGACTACAAAGGAGTGATAGAGAGGGCCAGAAGGTTGGTATCCCTGCCGACCGTAGGCATAGTGGGTGGTATTAAGATAAGAGAGAGCCAGACGGGCGCCAGAATGTTGCTAGTTCCGGGGACGGCCTGTGGAGGTAAAGCCGATGCCCTCGCAGACCGACTGCGCGCCACGATGGAGGACATAGTTGAAGTCAGCAGGCCGGAGAAAACGGTGGATCTGCAGATCTCAGGTCTCGACGACTCTATCACGATGGCGGAGGTGGTGGAAGCGGTGGCCGACAAAGGGAGTTGCCCAACTAACCAAGTGACAGCAAGGGAGATCCGTTCTGGACCAGGCGGTAACGGAACAACCACAGTTCGGTGTCCAGTGAGGGCCGCTAAAATGGTGGCTAAAGAAGGGAAAATTAAAGTGGGCTGGAGCTTGGCTCAAGTACGGCTTCTGGGCCCGCTCCCAATGCACTGCTACAGGTGTATGGGCAAGGGCCACACAGCGCTACGTTGCCCTTCCAAGGAGGGAGGAGGAGGAGGGGGGAGGAGTCCCACATAACCCCGTCAGCACCTCCCAGCGGCGGGGTATGCGTCATGCATTTTCCTAACATTAAAAAAAAAAAAAAGGGTTGTGTTGTGGTAGGGTTGTGTTGTGGTAGGGTTGTGTTGTGGCAGGGTTGTGTTGTGGTAGGGTTGTGTTGTGGTAGGGTTGTGTTGTGGCAGGGTTGTGTTGTGCCACTCGCAGCTCACTCACCATGAGTCCGGTCTGACAGAGCATGTAGTGTACGGTCTGCGCGACATCGGCCGCGTGCAGGTTGTTGTGGTAGGGATTGTGGAACTTGCAGTAGCCCTCCTCTATCCGGCTGAGGAAGTTTTCTAAAATCGTGGGAGGCACCTATGAACGGAAACAAAGATTGACATACAGGCATATTTCCATTTTGTTACGTTGCTCTTGTTCAGCTTTCGGTTGCGGATGTCAAGTGACTGTCCAATGGGCTTATTTGCAAAGTTGTTAAGCTCAAAGTCGTCAATTAAATTTAGTGCTTGCCAATGTGATGTATTGTATTATTGTAGTGCTATCGCGTAGAACATTATATTTAATGAAACTTAAAAATAAATTAAGTAACGGCTATGAAAACTGAGATAATATAAATTGCAAAACACTAAGTCAAAAATAGGTTGTAGAAGAAATAGATGAGAAAACTATAATGAAAGTATTATAACATGTTGCAATAAATTTTGTGCAGGCCGGCAAGGTGAGATGATTTGCATTGTAGATGAAACTGATGCACCTTCTTTTAATGCCAACACTTAAACTGTGTAAACAAAATTTCTTTTTCAGTGTATTTTTTTTCATTCTGCCGTATAAAATTCAGTCTCCAATACAATTTGTTTGACGCGCGCAAATTCCCGGCATAATATCTGAAACTTCTCAAGTTACAGGCGGGGCTATTAAAACTTTGTCCGGGCTTTTGAAATTTGATGAAAAAAATCTGAAATCATATCTTCAACAAGGTGCTGAATGAACGTACAGTGAAGCTCGATTTAATTATAAGCTGAAATATGTCTGGCATGAGGGGAGAGCGTAATTAGTTTGAGATTCATGAACGATCTTCTAATTAATTAAAATACGAAATACCTAAGAATAATATTGGTAATTATTCGGCATGTTTTAAAATATAATAGGATCTAATTAAATTTAAAATTTTTGAGGACTGAACTGCTAGATGTTTAAATCTAGAGATTTAAAATTCCAAACGGACTGACAGTTTTTCTTCTAGTATTTCTTAAGCTGCAAGGCAGCGTCATTTCTCGCGTATCAGCTGTCTAGCTGTGTGGATTTTTTCTAATAAAAAAAATTGCAATAGGATGTGGATGACATTTATTCACGACGCTCTTGCTTATTGCTGTTAAAAGATCAAAGGCTTCCTAAATGAGTTTCCTAAATACAGTGATATTAAATGGCATTTTCAATGTTATCCTAGGGCCCGTTCATAAAATATGTCACGCTAAAATCAGCTTTTTCCGACCCCCTCCCCCCCTATTGTCACGCTGTGTCACACTTTCTGTGACCCCTCTTGAAATATTCCGTCACAAACGGTAACCCCTCCCCAAGTACGATTAATTTCAATTGATAGTACACAAATTTTAAGAATTTAAATATTTATTTAGTTTTTATAATAAAATTTAAATATATAAATATGCGCTAATGTCGAAAAATAAACATGAGTAAATATATCAAGTTACAATTTATTGTATAATAAAACTATATACGTTTGAATGTCTATATGTTTACTAAATGCGAAATAAATGATTTTCTATCTTGATGAAAATTGAGAAAGAAAAATAGTTGGAAGAAATACTAATTTAAAAATTTTCAATGAACGACGAACGTCACGTTGCCGTAGACCCCCCGTCCCCCCTTGTCACATCTTGTCACACTTAGCAAGACCCCTCCCCCCCCCCCTTTTTATGCGAACGTATTTTATGAACGGCCCCCTACTGGAAATATTCAATTTAATGTCAAGAGCAGTAAAAACACACAAACGATTCGGACCAAATCAGGTATTTAAGTTAAAGTAAATATGGAATATAAAATGGAAATAATACTGAATCCTGAGGAGGTTTGGATCAAAGCCATTCTCCGAAATTCAGTATGAACTTATAAAAGAGCATGGACGTAAAATTCGTATCCGTAATAAATCAATTTCCGGTTTCACTTTGACATTCTTTCAAATTACTTACTCTAATCTTTGAAGCGCCCTTTTTTGGGAACGGAAAAGAAACGAAACTCACAGAAAAGTAACCAGACCTGACAGATTAGATTAATTCCCTGGATAATGAGAACGAAGTTTATCATTTATTCGCTGAATGAGAAAGAATAAAAGAGAAGGTAATAGTAATTACTGGGTAATGAATAGTGCTATGGGTCTATTGTTTTCATTGTAGCTTATTGTCATTTTCGATTAAGACATCTCAAAGTTTTAGATTAGTTTGTAGTATTACTTAACGATGATAGCAGAATGGAAAATGGACATTGTACGAGCAAGCTACGTGCGAAATGTACATTTCGCCCGCTCATCATTTTACTAATTGACTTTATTTTATTATTTTCAATAATCGTCAATTACTTACAAGTTAGTTCGCAAATAGCTATCAAGTAAGCCGTGCGCGTACTCATTCATAACAATCATTGAAGTGAAACTTCTTTATCGGCGTTGGAAAAAAAATTGCCGTCACATTTTTCGGTTACGCGTCACATTTTTCCGTTACGCGCCATCTTTTTTTATATTAATAGTTGATAGCTGAATGATCACACTGTCGCCGGCGAGAACTCTCTCTACTCGTTTGTAGCTGAGTGACAATAGTTATTAAAGATAAGACTCGCTCAGCCAAACTCGCATAGCGATACTCGCTCAGCGATACTCGCTCAGCGATACTCGCTCAGCGGTACTCGCTCAGCGATACTCGCTCAGCGGTACTCGCTCAGCGATACTCGCTCAGCGATACTCGCCGTGCGCGTGCATTTTAACTCAGGACTGCCAATTCGTTTCTAGTTTCTACTCGCTTATCGTTCATCGTCGGAGGTGGAACATGTGCCTTAGATTACTGAGCCGTGTAATCATAACAGTTTCATAGGCAGTAATTTGTATTCATGTCTATGATAATAAAATCCTTTTGTTTAAACTTTATCTAATTTAAGTTTATTTAACCAATTTCTGGAAAGTTGCATGTAGATCATTTTTCGAAAAATAAGGCCATAAAGAAGTTTCACTTCTTACGTGTGTACACTAGTACACGCACACATAATTTTTTTTATATCAATTAGTATTGTTTTAAGTTATTGTTTAGTTACCAAAATATACTTTATTATCAAGTTTATCATTTTATCAGTATCTTAGTTTCGGTACATCCCGAACATTGTGGTCCTTCGAGCCGGATGTAGCTTGCTCGTACAGACATAAAATTCTCTTGTGTGGTTCGTTATAATAAACATAACATAACGTAAACAAATAAACATAAAGTACTAAAGTTTTATATAACAATACAATTCTGAGTGAATTCCAAACATAATGTGACTGAAATAAGTTTTGTGGATTACCTTAAATTTATGTATCATTCCGTATCTGTTGAGCAGCTCGTAGCCCAGGTACTTGACTGGGGCTCCACAGGACGCCTCGTGCAGCGCGAACACGTCGAACGACCACTCATCCAAGGTCTATCCGAAATATAAAACACATTACAGGACTTAAAGAAAAATAGCATAGAATTTTACTTTTAAAACTCGGAACATCTGTCTCTGGAATTGCCCTCCAACAAAGCAAGAGGAGCTCGATGGCGCAAGTGGTTAGCGCCTTCGGCTGCGATCGTTGAAGTGAAGCAACTTTTGCAGTGGTCGGTCATTGGATGGGTGACCAAAACTTTACTATATAATAATAATAATAATTTTTTATTGGCTTGAACATAAATGTGATCTTAAACTAAAGACCTGCATATCCTTTTAAGCTTAAATAGCCTGTGTCAGGAGATACAGCTCTTCCTTAAAATAGATAATTATAACAATCCAATAAAATCTAAACAAACCATGACCAAGATCTAATTAGTTTAGACGTTTGGTGTTTATGCCTACATAACTGTAAATGTGTACTATCTAGAGCTCCTCCGTGCTTCGGAAGGCACGTTAAGCCGTTGGTCCCGGCTGTATCTGCAGTCGTTAGCACCCACCAATACGCACTGGGCCCGCGCGGTGGGTCATGGCCCAATCTTCCTATTCCATCCATAGGGAAGGCCTGTGCCCCAGCAGTGGGGACATTAATAGGCTGATGATGATGATGAAAGCAAGTGTTGTGTTTAAATAGTAAGATATTTATAACTAAAAACCTTAAAATATATAATAGTCTATAATTCTGTTAAGTAAGGAACAAAGCGACTTTAACAGTCGGGACCCATTAGATATTCAAGAATGGATAAAATTTTTCAATAATGGTTTTGTTGATTAAAGTAATAAATCTTCTAATCAAAGATTTGATATAAAATTACTTTTAATATGTATCCGAATACCTTGTAAGATATATGTGTGTTTCACTTTTTCATTTAAAAAATACCGTTTTAAAATATATCATCATCATCATCATCAGCCTATTAATGTCCCCACTGCTGGGGCACAGGCCTTCCCTATGGATGGAATAGGGAGACTGGGCCATGACCCACCACGCGGGCCCAGTGCGGATTGGTTGGTGCTAACGACTGCAGATGCAGCCGGGACCAACGGCTTAACGTGCCTTCCGAAGCACGGAGGAGCTCGAGGTAGTAATTTTTGGTCACCCATCCAATGACCGACCACTGCGAAAGTTGCTTAAGTTCAACGATCGCAGCCGAACGCGCTAATCACTTGCGCCATCGATCTCCTTAAAATATATAGGTTATACTATATTTGAATTTGATAAATTACAATGTAATAATAATAATGTGGGTAATTTAATAATTTAACTAAAGAACAAAGAGTAAGATATTTATAACTAAAAACTTTAAAAGGAGTCCCTTTAGGCAAGGTTCCAAAGATACTGGCAGCGTTCCCCCTTTGAATAGCTAGACTAATTCCTTGTCCGAGGTAACTGCCAGCTCTTCGGTCTCCCGTGATGTCGACCAACCTTTTTGCTATTTCCTTAAAAAGCCTTACAGCGCTAGGACCCCACGGACCAAGGGTCTCGACACCGAATGGGACAAAATCATATTCGGAACCTAGACCCCTGTATTTGCCTGCCTTAGCTTTTTCAG